CGAAATAAGAGAAGCATGACTCACATACACGTGTTTTTGATTATATAAACAAACGGGGAACTAAATGTTTCCGAATGTCGTGATTTATGACGTCTCTTTAAATCGCACTTTATTCGCACGTGGTGGTTGTTTATTGTAAGTAGAAGTTTTATATGCGCTAAAGCGTTGAGTATTTCAGTTTACAGTTCAGTTTTTAAAAAATAATTAGATCTTGTTAGACGTGAATTCTTTCTGTTTTTACCGGTTCAATGTTGAAGCGTCGAAAATGTTTAACAGAGCATGAAATAGCAGAAATGATGCAAAATATTTCAGATATTGATTCTGAAATTCTGATATTCTGATATTGATTCTGAAAGATTAACTGAAAGACATTTTCCAAAACTTTGTTCAGAAGAGACTGATAAGAAAATGAGACGATGATGCTTCGTTTGTTCACATTCCCGGAAAAATCCTCCAGAATGGCAAATGAGTTATTATGAGTTCAAGGAATGTAATGTAGGACTGTGTTTAGATCCCTGTTTTAAAATTTTTCATACGAAAAGAGAATTTTAAGTAATATATTTAGTTTTCAGATGTATAATGTTAAAAGTCATAAAATGGTGAGTAATTAAAATAAAATGTGTAAAATATGCATTTAAACAAGAAATAAGGTAATTAAAGTATATATATAAAAATATCTATAAAGCATAAGCTGTTTAAATACTCTATAGAGCATTATTAAACAATGCGTTGATACTTCGAAAATTTCATGGATTTAGGTTTAGTAGCAAAAAAGTCCCCGGCCCTGGAGAGACGCTCGCAGAAGACACTGCCGGCCTCCGCGATAAGCGCGCGTTTTTGCTACCCGGCTCGAAGGGGTTAAATATAAGAGGTGAGTATATAAGAAATAATTAATTGAATTTTGGTTTTGGTTTGCAATAGAGCTTCTTGTTAAGAAGCGATCTCCGTTACGAATATCGTTTACTAAGACATATAAAAGTCTAATGTTTCTGTTTGATGATGAAAATATAGAAATAAATGATGTTAAGATTAAATTAGCTACTTTAAAACGCATTAGTGCTAGTTTAATGACTCTTGATAACGGAATTTTAGAACTTGCCTTATGTGCAAACGATAATGGTGAAAGTTATTCTGATGAATTTGAATCTGTAGAAAAATATAAAGTCAAATTTGATGAAGCTATAGTTTGCGTCAATTCTTTTATCGAAAGTAAATCACAGCCAAACAGGAATATATTAAGTAATGCGAAATCAAAAACAAAACTTCCCAAACTTGAACTAATGAAATTTAACGGTGAAGTTAAAGAATGGTTGTGTTTCTGGAGTCAGTTTAAACGAATTCAGGATTATAAAGAAATGGAATTGGAAAAAAAATTTCAATATTTAATACAATGTAGGTCGCCAGGTAAAAGAGCGAAATAGATTATCAATAGATATCCACCTACGGCAGAAAATTATTCAAAAGCAATGGAAGCCTCAAAGCAACATTTGGCCATGAGGAATTGTTAGTGAAATACTATGTTCGTGAACTGTTAACTTTAGTTGCTAAAAATGCTACCAAATCAAAGGTTGTTAAAAATGCTACCAAAGCAAGGGTTGTTAAAAATGCTACCAAAGCAAGGGTTGTTAAAAATGCTACCAAATCAAGGCTTAGTATCACTCAATTATATGATAAACTTGAATCCCACCTCAGACCTTTAGAATCCATTGGGATGACATCAGACAAATATTCTGCAATGCTCTTCCTCCTTGTGGAGTCGTGTATTCCAGAAGACGTGTTGAGAGTTTGGTTTAGAAACTTGGTAAATGAAGAGAAATCATATAGTGCAAGGCTGAGCCAACTTTTAAATTTTCTAAGGGCTGAGGTCGAAGGGGAAGAAAGAATAACTAGCAAAGTTAAAAAGTTAAAAACTCTAGCAAAGTCAGGTATGAAGCAAAGTGATCCCTATAGAAAAGTTCATAAGGATAAGGAAGATATTACTATACCTACTGCAAGCAACATGTTTTCGGGAGCAAAAGAAATAAACAACAATAATGTTGTAAATTGTATTTTCTGTGAAAAATCTCATTAAAGCAAAGCTACAAAGCACAAAGTTTAAGTCATGATAAAAAATTGAAAATAATGAAAGAGAAAAATGTTGCTTTACGTATTTGAAAACAAACCATCGAGCAAAAAAATTGTAAAAGTAAAGTTCTGTGTATGTTTTGTGGTAGGAAGCATTACATTGTGTGTTGTCCAGAATTTAAGCAGAAATCAAAAGTTCCTGTCGAGTGCAATCAAGAAAATTGTGAAATTAGCACTCTTTTTTCAACAGGCACTTCAGGAAGAACTTCAGGACTTGCTTCAAACTTTAGTGGTTGCCATTCAACATGAAGGAGAGAAACTTCATCTTCGAGCGTTGATAGATACTGGATCTGAATATTCCTATGTTTTAAAATCAACAGTAGAATCTTTAGGAATAAGATCAGAAGCTCATAAAAAATTAACACATGTTGTGTTTGGAGGAAGGACATCTGATATGAATCATAAATGTTATAAAATAAATGTTGAGAATCTGCATACTGGTTATAGCTGCAAGATTCCTGTGTTAGATCAGCCTATAATTCATGGATCTATATCTAGTCTACAGAAAGGACCTTGGATATCAGAATTAGCTGGAAAGGAATTCATATCACAGATGTTTGATTGTTGTCAACCCACAAATTGATCTTTTGGTAGGCTCGGACTTTGCAAGGAAATATTTATACAGGAAAAATACACAAATTATGTACAGGCATTTTTGTCCATGGAAACACTGCTCGGATAGGTTTTGAATGGGCAAATTGCCAACAACGTGGAGGTGAAAATTCCATTGCTGCTGTTGTTACGTCCCTCTTAATTCACAATCAAAATATCAGAAACCTTTCGGAATTAGAAGCCATTGACATTACAGATCCCTTTGAATTGAAATCTAGAAGTAAAATTGATAAGGTAATAAATGATCATTTTATAGCAAATTTAAGAGAAGATGCAGAGGCTGACTATTTAAAATGTTTGAAAGGTCAAGAAAACATACGAAAAGAAGTTAAGAAAGAAATGTCCTTTTTGAAGAAGTTCAGGAATCATCCAAACCTGGAGGAGAATAAGAGATTTTATTTTATAGAAGAAGTGTAAAGGAAAATATAAAAATGATGAGATTCCGACTTATGAAAAAACAGATATCGCAGTGTCAAGTGATGATGAAAAAGATATGAAAAGGCAAGAATTGTTTGAATATAAGTATATTTCCCGATTTGAAGAGCCGGATTCAAAATTCATTAAATGATATCCAAGGATGATTGAAGATTCTCTCAGATGTGTTGATAATAAAAAAAAAAAAAAAAGAAGAAGAAGAAGAAGCGTGAAGAATACGTTGAAAGAATAAAAAGGAAGAAAGAGCAGAAAATAGAAGATCTGAAACATTTGAAAGATTTAATAAGAAAAGAACTTGAAGACAAATTTTTAAAGTTGAAAGAAGTGCCTGGTCAAAATGAATTAAACTTTAACGAAGATGATATTGAAAGTGATTTTGAACCTGAAAACCAAAACCAAAAAAAAAAAAAAAAAATTGAACCTTGACCAGAAAACAAAAGAGATTTTTAATGATGATTATTATGCTATTCAAGATGAAGAATGTCCAAAATTTCCATATGATGAGGAACTCGATAATGAAGATTGGGATCATTGGATTGAATCAAGTAAAAGTGATGAGTGTGGTGAAGAACAACTTGAAGAATCTTAAACATCAGGTGTTGAGATTACAAATTTCAAAATTTATTCTAAATCACAAGTTAAGAAAGAAATGATTGAATCAACTCACACAGGAAGGATAAAGGTTAGAAAGAAATCCTTATTTCATAAAGTAATTTCTAAATCTAAACCAGTTTGTGATCCAGATGGCAAAATGTTTGATGACTATTTGAATGAGTGCTTCAGATTAGATGATGAAGTGATCGAGCTATAAAGGTGCCTTCTAGATTCAAGGACTTTTGAACTTTAAAATAGACTTTTAAGTGAACTTTAAAATAGACTTTTAAGTGAACTTCAAAATGGAGTTTTAGGTTATATTTTAGATTAATTCAGTATTTGCTTTGATAAAATCCTTTTATCAAAAGGTGGGAATATGTTATGTATAGCATAGTTCATATACATTCAACCAGTGTAATATTAATTTTCTTTTAGCTTTGCTTTGAGTGGCAACAGCTGTAAAACGTTATTATTTTTGGTAGAATAAACTTGTTTGGTTGTGTTTAAATTTTTAGAGATATTATTTAGGTAGAAATAAGTTGATGAATGGACAAAATGGTGTACATTTTACTGTCATATCTAACAATAGTGATTACGTGGCAGCATGAAATTGGTATTTCTGCTGTTCGAAAAAGCATTCATTTATGGTAAGTGCATTTTATTTTATTCTTGTTCTTATTTTGTAGAATGTCATGTTCATTGTTTTTTTAGTATGAATTTCTGTCATTATTGTTGTTTTTTTGAATTCTTTGAAATTATTTTAGTTTATTTTGTTGAATAGTCCATAGTGCCTAGATTGTGCAATCCGTAGATGTTGAAACAGAACGCTATGTACATGGTATTCTTTGAAATTAATTTTTGTTATGTTAATTTATTAAAGCGAGATGTGTGTAGTTCGTAGATTCTTTTACTGCCTAGATTGTGCAATTCGTAGATGGTTTTTTTTAAAGTTAAAACATATTGCTGTGTACATGAATTCTTGTCAAATATTTTGGTTATAAACTTTATGTTTTTGCTATCTAAATTTTTTGTTTTTGTTTCAGATTTTTAGCTTAAATTGTGTGTTCAAAACATGGTTTTTGGAGACATTTTAGGCTTAAAGTTCGAAATGTAGACAAAAAATTTAAATAGTAATATTGCACCGTTGGCAAGAAATTTGGGGACATATAAGAGTAGTTCCAAAATTATATGTATTTTTTAAAATAATTTTGTATGTTATTTCTTAATATTTTTAGTGTTTGGTATGGTACCATTTTTAAAGGCAGTGCTTGGAACTATGTTACCATTATTGTGCATGGTAAAACAGGAAAATATGAAATGGATTTTTGCACATGGTGAGTTATTCTTTATTATTATATTTAAATACAGTTGTTGTTAGGCTTGCTATATATTACATTCATGTGCAAAATTAAGAAAATTTGCAGATTATGTTGAATTTCTGAAAACCAGTAGACAGACTTTAATGAAATGTTTTATGAATATACATTTATAACAGAGAAAGAGATGTACTATCCAAATATTTATTTATGCATGATTAGTAAAGGTATGTCCAAAGCCCATGATATCGAACTGAAAATCAGTCTAATATGGTGACTGTTCCCCTCCGAAAGTCAGACAGATCGTACAGTGTGTCGGCATATTGTACAGGAAGCAGTTGAGAATTTCCTGTGGCTGTCAATCCCACTACTACAGCAAGGCAGTTTTAATTCCACAAGGTTTTTGTAGGGGGATGGCTAGATCAAATTGCTCTTCCAAGAGCGACTCTGGCATGCTGTATAGGGTTAATGTCAGGATATGTGGCTGGCTACTCAATGCATCGACAAGACAAGAGCCCTATGTGGATGAATGTTGTCATCCATTAACAGGAACTCAGGACCAACTGCACCCCCAAAAAGTCGAACATATTTCTCAAAGATCTCTCTATACTTCATAGCAGTGAGGGAGCTTTTGTCAAACTTGTGTAAGGATGTGCTGCAACCCAACATAATGCCTGTCTAAACTGTTAATCTGCATTCACACTGGTACATCGCCACAAAAACTGGAAATGCAAAGAAAAACAAAATGTTTACTGCATACATCAATTCACATCAAGGTGGAAACTTTTGCTTTGAAAGTTGTCATATATTAAATGTGAAAATTAATGTAAAACTTAAATATCTGCATCTAATGAGACTTAATACAAAATAAGGTACTTTTTTGCTTCGCCGGCGCAAATCTGACCAAGCAGACTGTAGGTGACCACATACAGTATACACGTAAAAAATGTTAATAAATGTTAGTTCTAAGAATTTTGTATTTTGAAGGCATAAGCATTTTAATATTGTTTAAAATTTTGTAAAAAGCCAATAAATATAGACAATAAATTTGTAAAAAGATATTAATTTAAGAACTTACTACGCTTTAATGGTTCAACATCCTGATTCGCCAGTCCATATCATGTGACCTCACGTGATCTCATCTCATCTAAACTACGCTACAAAAATCTAATTCTCTCAGTAATTTGCTACATTAATTTCAAGTTAAATCTCAATTTGGAATACAAGTTTAAATGCAAGAATTATTTCAATTTGTACGAATAGCTTACTCAGATATTATGTAAAACCGCAGTGCTTTACTTCGCTAGTGCATTCTCATTAGAATTGATGAATATAACCCTTGACTTTGCCTTTTCTACTGATATACTGATTTTTTCCTTCGGGTGAGTGGTGTGATTGCATCCTTATTGACTTAATTACTGTGAATGGCCTTAGGGCATAAAATTGAACTATCTGGTAAAAAATCCTATGTAATTGTATGCCAGTATTGAAGGAAACAATCAATCTGCTAAGAAATAGCTGCTACTTGTCTTGAAAATGAGGCATAAAAAGTCACCAGTGAGGATATTCCGTTTGGCTTCGGTTGTACCATTATTGGCAACTTTATCGCCTGTGCCAGAAAAGTACCCAAAATAACTTATAACCTCTGGTGCTTTAGTGGCTTATTGGAACCTTTAAGTACATTAACTGGGTTACAACCCCTGGAATTCTACACAAAATCATGACGCTAACTGGGTCAGACAGAGCCCAACTAACTTTCAAAACTTGCCAACCGTGCCTACATCAGGACTTTCAGGTTTGTTTTGGTCATCAGATCTCTCTCTAGCCACTTGCACCAGAAAGACGTGCCAATCGAGATGCTTTTGTCTCAAACCGCGAGCGACGTGAACACCACGTTGATAGGCATTTATCGCAAAAATGAAAATAACATTGTGCACATGTCGCCTAACAACGAGATTGTTTATTTCTCGAGTTACAGCTCTGGATTGCACTCACAGACGCGGAGTGGCGTAAATGAGGCACTTTACTGCTTGTTATATTGTAGCACACAGCTCCACAACTGTGAAGTTTAATTGTAGCGCAAGTGGCTAGGCAAGCGGCAGTGGTGACAACAGGCAATCTTTTGTTATGAATCATGCTAATTATTATTTTATTTCTTATTTTAACCTATGTCACTTAACATAAAATGCACCTGCTATTTAGTAAACCTCTAAAGTATTTATTATGCTATTTAGTAAACCTCTAGACTGAGAAAGACAAAAATGAGACCAAAAAAAAAAAAAAAAAATTAAGAAAAAGAACATAAACCTAACTGTTAGTAGAACATAAATATAATGTCACAGATCTTCTTTCAAATACGTCCAACTATTATAAGTGTAAAATATTTAATGTTACTTGATAAATTTCATAAAGTTTATTTTATTCTCAAACTTATTAATAATTATGTTAATTAAATTATGTTTAATAATAATGCATCCTGCTTATTAGTCTATTTTATTTTTAGGATGGTATTACAAAAATGAAGTTCAGGCATAGATAATATTTTTAACTGAATTTATTCAGTTCCCATTTGCTCACAGGTCCTTAATTTTTCATTAATGTTCCTTAAAAGTACTTAATTTCTGTGTGCAGAAATGTATATGAACCCTGTGTATTATATAATAACTGAATTGTACATCATTGAATTAAGAATGTTCTGTAGAATAATTTGTAGAAGCATGATCCAGAGCTGGAGTACTGTAAACATGTACTTGACTTATCCATACTATATGTTTTATGGTGAATTATCTTAAATGAGATTCATACCACTCCTTCTGCATGCATCACAAATTTAAAGGGGAGAAATGCAGAAGTATTTCATTAAGTAATTCTAAGATCCTTGAAAGGATATACTGATACTGTTTTGAAATACTGTTTTGAATACTTGATTACTGTTTTGAAAATGTTCTAATTGACAGGTGAGTGTGCATAAAAATGTAATGAATGTACTTTGATTTAAAACAAGTTATGTGTTCATATTATTTGTATTAGAAATTTTGTAGTAATTTAAATTGGGTTATATTTTTATGGAACACCAATTACGTTTTGATGTTGTGTATATGATATTATTAAATTTTTTTGCATAACTTATTTTTTTTGGGGGGAGAGGCTCTAATACATGTAGGCATGGGGCCATATTTAATGCAGACTTCTTTACTTGTAGGTTGTAAATAAAATTTGTATACATTTTCCATAAAATGTGAATAATGTTATTTGATGTCTGCTGTTTGTATTTGACTTCTTTTATCTTTTGATGTGTATAAATGTATTATTTTTAACAGCTGAATCAATTATTTTAAAATGTCATTTTAGCTTTAGCAAAATTTTGCGAGTCCATTCTTGAATATATTGCTAATGCTGAAAAGTCACCTGATCCATCAGTAACCAAAGAGGCATTTATGAGTGAAATAAGTAGTGCTTATGATGTTCTTTTTAACAATTGGCTTCCATCTAGAGAAGCAAAGGTATGTCAAAAAATTGTATAGAATTCTAAAATTTTTAGAAAATTTGTTTGATGAATAATTATTGTGCAGTTATTTTTAATACAGAAACAGATAATTAAAAAAACCCTTTTAATTAAGAAAAAATATGTGTCTGTATATATCAAGTAAGTACAAAATTATTATTATTTTAGTGGAGAAAATTCAGTGAAGCCTACTTAAGATGGTCATCTGTGATTTCAGAATATCTGGATCTTTTATGGAGAACTTTGGAGAGCATAAGTGATATCAAGTAGCAACATTTTGATTTATGTTTTCAGATAGGCTAATCACTTTGCTGGCCATCTCAAGGAGGCAGTAACTCTAAAAACTTTTACTGATAATTTTTTGGGGGGAGGGGAAGCTGAGAAATGTTTTTTAAATTGTTGTAATGTTGATAATGTTACAGCAGTAGCTTTTGCTAATTATCCTAAACACTGTAAATGGGGGGGAAAATGAGACATCCTTTCAGAAATGGTATGTAGTAAAGTGTATTCCTTTATCATTTGAGGAATCAACTTTTAAACACAACCGCATATAAAATATATGTCAGCTCAAATTTGGAATATTTCCTAAATCATATAATGAAATAAACAACATGAAGTCCTATTTCTCTATTAATCTATATTTTCAAAATTCAAGTAGTAATGTTGTCAGTCTTTGGTTACATCTTTGAAATATGCATACATTTTAGGAAAATCTGAAGCATTTCTGTAGGCATTAAGTTGTTACAGTTTTCATCTTTTATTTGAAAAACAGTTAGCTATTCATTTTATTTTTATCAGCGTAGAAATTGAATTTATATCTGTTCATGTATTAGGATTTGTCTTGTAATAATAAAGATACCATCTCTTGTCAAATATAAGCCAATACAGGGCATAAGGTGAAAGGTAATAAATCAGCCAAAGCTCTGCATATAACCCAAATTTAGAATTACTTAATAAATCCAGCTAAATGTATTGCCCAAGCATGAGAACAATTGGTCATCTAGCGTAGCTGCACCTATTTGGGAAGCTGAAGATTATCTTTAATTTATCTTTGGATGCCATTTGTAAAACAGGTAATTAGAGCATTGTTGAATGAAGAGGCAGTTTTCCCAACTGCCCTTTCATTGAGCAATGCTCTTGTCTTTCTCAATTTCCCAACATTTTGGCATACTGATCATTTGGTGTGTTGGCAATAGTGTTGTTAATTTTACTTTGGCTCTCAATTATAGTCAGCATTCTAAAGCAGTCGCAAGATTTTAATTAATTTATTTATTGTTTTTATTTTTTTGCCCCTTAGTTGCTGTATTAATTTTTATGAGTGAAATACAATTCAGCGTTTCATTTTTGCTATATGGTCAAAAAGATGCCCAGACAGTTTTCTACTAGTTTGAAGCTAAAATTATCATATTTGCTGAGCAATGCTGTGGACATAACTGAAGTTGATATTATCTATGATGCAGAAGATAGTGATATTAATACAGTCAAAAGTCTTTAATCCGGACGTCCATAAACTGGAATGATCCATAATCCGGACCTCAAAGCTACAAACTTTCTGCGCATGCGTAAACGCATAAATCCTTTACGCATGCGCTTAATACATTTACGCATGCGCGTTTAATGTATAACGGACGGTATAAGCTAAGCTAAAATTATCAAATTATCTATTTCAGTTTATGTTGCAGACTGTGTTGTTCCTTAATCTTCTAATTGGACCGGCTTATTATTTTTTGCAGACTGTTAGAGCAATTTTATAAAAGTAAGCTTGAACTTTCGATTATGTCAAAAAGAATTTCCGATTCTGGAGCTGCCAAAGGATCTACAAAGCGATAGCAGTTTCGATGTCCATCAAACAAAAAGTGGAATTGCTGCAAAAAATGGATAAAGGCATATCCTTTGTTTCTCTAACCATTCCAAAATCTGTTTATCAATTTCACGCTGCTCTGCAGGGGGGGGGTTGCGGCACACAATGAACTGGAAGTTGATCTGTCAGCACTATCCTTATCTTCAGGGCAGATGTTTTTATTTTTTTTATTTTATTCGGCTTTGAACTCAGTTATTAGTTTAGAAAAGTATGTGAACTATTTATATTTTTTTTTCCTAGTTAAAAACACAATAAAAGTAATTTTTTAGTTGTAATGACATTCTGCAGTAGTATTACTTTTTGCTAATATTTGTCTCTTGGTTTCATTTTGAGTTTTATTTAATGTTGCTATTATTTCATATTAAAATATATATGTATTACAGGTAAGATCTGAAGTTGTTGTTGCCCTAGGTCAAATGACACATCTTCTTAGTCCTGAAAAATTAGAAGAACTTCTACCAAAGTTTATTCCAGCTGTTTTAGCAATTTATAAAAGGCACCAAGAATATCAACATACTACTCAGGTATTTATTAAAACAAAATTATATTCCTTTTCAATCTTTTTATTTCAATTGCAAAGATTTCCCACTTATGAGTTGGTTTCATGCAAAATAGTTTTATATTTAGATTGAGAATATTGTATGTAATATTTGATTTATTTAATATTTTTTGTAAACACATAAATAATGGCATGTATCTGTTCCTTTCCTCAAATTACTTATTAAAATAAATACTTTCTCTCTAAAATATGCATTTATAATAATGCATAATTCTTTTTATCCATAAAAAATAAAAAAATATTGCTGAATAACAAAAACATTGATGACTTAAACTTAACAAATTGTATTAATAGTATATGATTTTCTGTTGGCATTATGTAGATTGAAGGAAAGTCGTGTTGTCTGATTTTTTTTTTTTTTTTTTTTTTTTTTTTTGCATGCATTGCAGCTTTGATATTTGCTGTGTTAGGTGTTCACTTTCTGTGTGTGCCATTTATTCAACATCAGAAGGAGAATCTTGAGATAACCTACATAATGGATTTTATATTTGGAGCATTTTATATTTTAATTTCCATCAAAATACCTACATAATTTGGATCATTGCAGGTAAATCATCATATGTTTGGGAAAGCTCCATTATGTGGGTTTGTTGTAAACTGCATTCAGTATGGTGGGGTTTCATTGTGTACATGTGCTATATATATGTAAAACACATCATTAATATAGTGCTAAAACTGGGAATTTAGAATGAATCCTTGAAGAAAAAACTTATTTTAAGACTTAATTCATTAGCAGAAAAATCTAAATGTGACTTTTTATATTTATCTTTTCCTATTACATTATGCAAAATGCCAAAAATCAGTTTAAAAGATGTCTTTAAGTAGCAATAAATGTTGGTTCATAATTTTAGCAATAGTCATGTGTAATTTATTGAGCATAAATATGTATCATAATTAATACATAATTTACCAGATCACCTTTGGCAGCTACCTCTATGTAAAGTTTCTTCAATAATTAATTGAAAGATAATTTAAAATGTCAGTTCTGGAATTTTGTTGTTCTCGTTTTTTATGAAATGCATACTCACTCTTGAAGGAAAATTAGTAGTAGTGTAAATTTTTTGTCCATATTCTGGCCTTCATAATTAGTTTTGCACTTGAGTAATTAATTATTGCATTAATTCAATCTAAAAATTATTTTTACATTCAGAGTTATCAAATCAAGTAGATATTAAATTAGTTAATTTGATTTGAGATTATTTCTGTGTCAAAAATTATTCTGTTAAAGAATCAAGTTAAAACTTCTCAATGGAAGTTGTTTTTTGATGGCAAGCAAGTATATTAATAGTTATTGAAAATTCAAATTTACCTTTGATAGATACAGTTTATGGTAAATGTAAGGTAAGTAAAGTAGCCATTCTAGAACAGTATCCTCTTAGCACTGAAATTATAAATTTTGTATCCCTGTAAATGATGAATTCCATTCAAGAAAGCAAAATCACAGCTGATTCAAATTTAATTGGATCTATTTTTCTCATTAGTGGGAGTAACACAAAAAGAGAAAACAAAGGCCTATTAAATAATAATCTGAATGGATGGCTCAAGTTAGCTACTAGCATAATACTGTGAAAAGTTGTTTGAAGCTATGCTGGAATTTGGATTTTCTAGGAAATTGATTGATCTCCCTAGAATGACTTTAAAGAAAGTAAATTGCAGAGTTAAAGTCATGTCTGATCTATCAGATGCATTCTATAGTGAAAGGGGTTTGAGACAAGGTGATGCCCTTGCATGCATGTTATTTAATATTGCCCTTGAAAAGGCCCTTGAAAATCTAAAATTACTTGTGTTGAACAGAAGTATTATTTTTGATGACAGGGATGTGTGCTAACTATTGTTGCAATGTTACTGTTACCAATTACTGTGATTTATATGCTGCTGTGTAGCAGCATTGAAGAATTAATTATGAATGAAAATTTTTTGTGAAATATATACCCAGCCACGGAAAGGCAGCTTTTTAAACTAGTTTATTTATCTGCCATAGCTAGATGGCTTTTTTTTTATATATATATCAGTTTAACATTCACATTCTTAACCACTTTTTTTTTTTTTTTAATCCTTGCTGCTTTAAATAAAAGGTTGTTTTTTAATCTATTTTAAATAATACTGACATGTTTCTATGGTTATTTTAGTAGCTTTCTCAAGTAACTAAATGTTTCTGGAAATAGTCAATGGCATTTTCCAAACTGTGTCTTGTGATTTAGAATCATACTTTGTTAAAAGCTACTATACAGAAAATAAAATAATTTTAAATATGGATAAATTGATTCTTATGATACATATTCATATTACACAAGATTTTCCTATGAAGTGGTTGCAGCCTCCCCCCTTTTTTTAACATTTTTAAACATTTTTTTTCCTAAAATATTAACTTAAATATTGGTTCCAGTTACAGACTGACTGGATGATAATAATATGCAGATTTTTATAAAAGTAGTTTCAGCATTGAGAACTTGCTGATTAAATAAAATCTAGCTTTTTTTATGATATATGTACAGCAAAAATTAGTGAAGTACTTACTGTATTTAATAAGTTAAACACAAAGCAGGCAAAATTCACAGGGCAAATTTACTAACTTAGATTTCTCTTCAATGACCACTGCTGATCAAATTTAAAAAAAAATTCAACTATGTTTGGGGAAAACCATAACAATTTTTTTTCTTTTGTTTTAGCAATTAGTGTTTCTGTGGAAAATGAAATAGTAATTGTTTCTGAAGAGACAACTGCTCTCCATGAAAATATTAATTATGTGCATCTATGCAGACTCTGCATATCAATATTTGGAATGTATATTTGTTCTATGTTTTATAAAAAGTCATCCTTTCGTCTTGAATGTAAAAATTGTTTTATTAAAATTCTATGTGTAATTTTAGAAATGATATTAAATGGAAGTACATGACTGTAATTCATATTTAAGGAAATAAAATCTAGAGCCTTTTAGTTAGATTATCCTGTGTACATGGCAGTACAATGCATCTCTCACGTAATAATGCACATACTTCCTAATTATTACAATCCCCATTTTATAAATGTCAACAAGATTACAAATAAATTGTCAATGCAAACATCTTCAAATGGCTGGCAGCCCTAATAGTGATCATTTTTAATTTGCTCATGATGCAAAGTCTTAAATAAACTCCACGTTATTGTATATATTTTTTTCATATTATCTGAAAATTTAGAAAATTCTGGAATAGAAAAATAGCAATTTTATATTTATAATTTCTTTATTGATAGGGCCTGTGTATGGTTTTGGATGCTGCTGTTTCTAATCACAGTATTATTTTGGAATCACAATTAGAGAATATTTTGAATGTTCTTTTCCCTCAGGTAAATTAATGTTGTTGCTTTGTAAACATTTTATAATATTTCTAGGAGTAATACTAGACCGTTGAAAGATTTGAGAATTTTTTTTTAATCAGACATTTTATCAGAAATAATAAAATGTCTGATTTAAAAAATCATGAATCTTCACACATTTTCAAACAAAAACATTTATTTTCTATGGTTTTATTTGTAATCTTATCAATGTTATTAATCAGACAATCTTATTAATCAGACATTTTATCAGAAATAATAAAATGACTGATTAATAAGATTGTCTGATTAATAACATTGATAAGATTACAATTAAAACCATAGAAAATAAATGTTTTTGTTTGAAAATGTGTGGAAATTCATGGTTTTTTTATAATCAGGTTTGATTGCATTGACATTTATATGTTCTTAAGTTAATATTTTATTTTAGCTTTTTTCTTTAAACTTTATTGTTTTCATACTAAGCAAAGGAAGCTCCTAACATTAATGCAGTTTCTGATGGACTGCTAAAATTAAGTTTTACTCATAATTTAATGCATATTTCAAGAAATAATTTTGATCAGCGAGTTTAATCTTTAGTAAAATATTTTGAAGTTTATCTGTATAAAGTAATAGTAAGAACTGTAAGTATACTTTTTGTATTGCATTAAAATTTTGATCTTAATTATTTAGCATCAGATGCTTTCTGTACCAGTATTTTAGAATATGGTAGTTTCTGTAATTGTTATTTAAAGGAATTGGATAAAATGTTTTTATATTAATATCAATATAAAATATTATTATTGTTTTTAAAAGTATTTGCGACTCTTTCATTTTAAATATGTTATTTCATAAGTAATATTTTTATCTTTCAAAATGTAGTTTATTATGCATGAGGATTTTATTACCTGTCAAAACTCTTGTAGAACTTCCAGTGGTGATTTTTTGGCTTGGCAACAAAAAAGTTATCAAGCCATGAAAAAGCATATTTTGAAATGTTAGATAAGCATTTTAAGCAGTGAAATTGAAAATCCAGGTTTGGAATACAGGTTAAAGTTTAAAATGCAAAAAGCACAAGCGCATGCATTCACACATAAAAAACTGAAATATTAGCAATTAAGAAAAGTGATAAAATTGCTGATAAATTTACAAGGAAATTTTGAATGCAATCCAATTTATGCCCTTTATAGTTTCTAGAAATTTGTTAAAGCAAACATCTTGATCCTTGCAAGATGTAATGAAGCTGTAAAATGCCAAAGGAAATTTAAAATCTGTTTGCTGATTGTGTGTTGGTTAGAAGTTTTTTATACACCTCAGTGTGTTCTCTGTTTTATTTGTATAGCATCCTGTGACTGGATCAACAAAGTTTAGGCTGTGATTAAGCTTTAATTGCTCAAAACCCTTTCTACCTAAACAGTCATAGTTTTCTCAAATACAAGAGTAAATTGTATTTCCCAGCTTAATCCACTCCTTAATAATGTTCAACAGTGTGCTGTTGTTTTTATCATTTTATTCCATGAACCTCTATGAAGATTCCTTCACTCCAAATGCTTTGTCCCTCTGCTGCATGCCCCTTACTCTACTTATGCTATCCAAATTGTCTTATATCATTTCCACTATCTTCCCAATAGCACCATTTTTTTTTCTGGTGTCAGCTCTATGGAATGTAAAATCTATGGTTCATCCATAAAATAACTGGACAATTTCTTATGAATAAGAGAAAGATAACTAACCTTCAAATAAATTTAACTTCTTCAAAATAATTGCCAGAGGAGTCTACATTTTTTCCAATGTTTCTTCAGGTCATCAAAACACTAATTATAGACATTGGAACTAACCATTCGCTAAACTGTGCATAACATTTGGTTTAATATCTTTGACATTTTCAAATCTATATCCTTTCATGAGCATAGTTTCAGAAAAAGAGAAAAAAATCAACTGGCAATACGTTTTGAGAATATGGTGGATCATTTTTCACTTCAAATGTATGTTTAGCAAGATATTGTTGTACAGACAATGCTGTACGGGGCTTAGCATTATCATGCAAAAGGAACCATTGAACAGAATTAAAACAATACTTCCTAAGAGGCCTTCCTTAATTTAAAAATGCACTTCCTTGTGAAAATACTGATTAATTGATTGATTTTCAGGGACAAATTCATGGTGAATATGTCGCTTGTAATAAAAAAAAAATGCATTCAGCATCATCTAGTCTTTGATTTTGATACCTGTGTTTTTTTTTTTTTTTTGTTTTATTTTGTTTTGTTTGTGTGTGTGTGGGAGAAGATGATCTTTTCCAATGTGTATGTCGTCTTTTTGTTTCTGGGTTGTATAGTAGACACCGGGTCTCATCCTCATTAAAAAATTTGCTTTAAGAAATTGTAGTCATGTCTCCCAGTAGTCAGCAAATGCTAATGCAAGCCTTTTTTGTCTTCTTTTTTCTGTTTCTAACTTTTTGATTGTCAGTTAAAATTAACCTACTGCTTTCTTTGCTTATTCCAAGCATGTCTAAAAAGTTTCTGAGTTGTTACGTGTCTTCAAAGAATGAATTTTCTCAACATATTCCTTATTCTTTAATGTTGAAAGAGGCATCCTATCTCTGATTTATCTTCAATGCTTTCACACCTAAATTTAAAGAGGTTGTACTACTCATTTACTTGTGTTCCTGATAACGGTGCATCACCATATATTGTTCGAATCATCTCTAATGCTTCAGTACCTGATTTATCTAATTTGTAATAAAATTTAATGTTATTCTTCCATCTCGAAGCAAATTTTTTGCACAATGTCTTCTCAGTGAATTAAAATGACTTTTCAGTGAATTTGATATGTTTTGATATGCAAATGACAAAATAACCAGTTTTAATTGACTTTAGCATTAGTTGAGGTATTACCTTTCTAAACATACATTTATTCTTTCACTTTATTTATCATTTTTTTTTTTTTTTAATTTGCTTCTTTACTTTATGGGCACACCTTGTAGTTTCATTTAATAAACTACCTACAATCTGTTAATGCATTGTTTCTCAAGCTTTTCTCATTGTGAAACACTTTTTAAATTCTAACCTTTTTAAGGATCATTAGAGTAAATATGGGTTTTTAGTAAGTCGCCTCTGAGGTCTTACTGAGGTAGTCTGTAAGTCGCCTCTGAGGCATCAGAGAAATGTGATGTGTGATTCTGCCTTGATTGTATCTGATAACAAAATACGTGTGCCAACTTCTGTTTTGTTAATTAACAGTAAGGTAGTGGAAAATTACATCCATTCTTTAGCTTCCTTCTCTGGCAGAACATCATTCTGGTTCAATTTTAATAACTATAATTTCTGCATGAATATCTCTGCTATAATTAAGTCATAATACAGATATAAGTTAAGTAAACATAAGTTAATGTAATATAAATTAAATGATAATGCAAATAATAAAGTGAAAATGATAAATAAAATAAGTATTTATTCCAATTTTTATATCGTACATATAAAAGACACATTTTTCAGTTTCTAATTTTACAAAAACTGATTCGTAAAACCATTTAAATGAAGAAAATAATAATAAAAAAATTAAAACATTTTTAGTTTTCAGTGACTTTAGTGTATTAGATTCTTTGCATTACAAATTTCTTTAATTTCAAGCACAATCTTTGAAATTACAATTTTTATATCAAATGCTGCATGAATTCTACTTTTATGTATTGATTTTGTTGCAACATAATTTTAAAAACACCTGCCTCATGCAAATAATGTTGCAGAAGGAAGTAAAGTATGAGTAGCTTGTTTTGATAACTTCAGATATTCTTCTGACAAATTTATTCGCTAACAGTAGTTCTTTAAATTTTCGTTTTATGGCAATCAGTTGTTGAATCAATCAATTTGTAGAGCAATAAGGCTTTTAACAACACAAAATAATACACGTATTTGTTAATAATAATAAAAAAATTATATTTACATACAAATTTTTAAAATAAGATAAAATAAAAAAAGCCAAAAAAAATTAATTCTTTAAATAAACTAAACTGACACTGATTTTATAATACTTCTAAATATAGAATTCTTTACTTCTAAGCACAGAACAGAAACACAAAGCGTTTCAAGGTAGCAGTTAATGCTTCTGAAGTTAGATCTGTTACCATTTCCCAATGAATGACTATAGTGGACCATGCAAATGAATATACATACATAAACATTCTGATATATACCTTTTCTCTGGTTTTTATTTTTAATTAAAAATGGATTGCAGAGGTCATTTATGGTACAATTAAATGTAAGATTAGCTGCAATTCTTTCTTTGGTAGATAACCCATGATTTGCTGAGCTATTGTGGGATTAGTCTTGAAACATGTTATATACTATTTTACAACCTCCCTACAAACATTTCTGCCATTTACAATCCAAAATTTCTGTTTTATATGATATAATAAAGATTGGGGACCTACATACAGGTATTTAAAATGTTAGTCATTAAATATTAACTCTGTTAATTTATGTTTAAAAGGCAGAATAATAGGATTTTTTTTTTTTTTTTTTTCTTTTTTTTTTCTGACAAGTTAAAATTGCTATTTCTTAAGCTACCTCCTACTCTAAGTAACCCATTATTGTTAATACGGGGGTTAAGATTCTTAATAGGATTATTCTTTGGAACCATACCAAATTTTTTTAAGACATTTGTCTCACCTATAAAATACTCATCTTGCATTAATCTTAATAAAGTTTATCAGCTACTGTTAATTCTCCCACTTGTAAATTACCTACCTTCTTTGCTATGTACAATTCTTATAAAGCAAAAGCTTATAATGTAAATTGATTTTAATACTTATTGCTACAATTCAATAAACATTAACAAAGTCATTCACATTTAGATTTAAAGATGTTAATAGTTCACAGTCAGCATACTTTTTAAAGTTCTTTTGTGTCTCTTTCAGTTATTGTTTCAAGTACAATTCTGTTAGTTTACTTATCTTTCATAAAAAATTCAGGCCTGTTCCACCACAATTGACTTAGATGCAGTTTTTTAACATTCATACCTCTAGATATGAGATCATATGGGTTTTCTTCAGAAGCAATATAATGTCACTCTTGAATTTCAATAAAATCCTGCGTCTCTGATATCCAGTTTGCAACACAAATCTTGAGCAGATGAGGCTCTTTTTTTTAATCCATGACATCACAATCATAGAGTCACTCCAAAGGGGAATAGCTGAAAGCCCCAGTTTCATTGAAGATTTTACTTGATGAATTAAACTAGCCATGAGAACTGTTGCCCAGAACTCAAATCTTGGGATGGTAATCATCTTCAGAGGAGAGACATGAGATTTACTACTCACCAACCTCACTGTTGTACTGCTTGATGCTGACGTGGCTCTGTAAGTCGCCTCTGAGGCATCAGCGAAATGTGATGTGTGATTCTGCCTTGATTGTATCTGATAACAAAATACATGTGCCAACTTCTGTTTTGTTAATTAACTGCAAGGTAGAGGGAAATTACATCCATTCTTTAGCTTCCTTCTCTGGCAGAACATCATTCTGGTTCAATTTTAATAACTATAATTTCTGCATGAATATCTCTGCTATAATTATAGCTGAGGCTACTAAACCCAGGGAATCAAAGATACAAGATATAATGGATAAAACTTGTTGTTTAGTGACATATCTATTCTAACTTTGATGCCCAAACAATCTATTTTCAACTTCCATAAAATATTTAATGCTTTAGATTCTTCCAATTCACCAAAATAGTATATTTAGTCGTTTTTTAACACAAATCAGTCTCATTACCACACCACTTATGAAGTACCATGCTTCAGAATGTCTTTTAACTGATTTCGGAGTTCTAATGCAGATAATTCAAATAATGATTCAGCTGTTGACAAGATATTGCCCATGTGCATGTCTTGTCTTAGTACGAGTGCTGCTGATGGAAACTTATTTCCTTCATCCATAGATAGCTGTACAAGTATTAGCATTGTTAAAAATGGTGCCCTCGAAGTACCATAGGTAATGATGGTTAGATCAAAATCTTTAATTGGCCTTCTATCCATAAAATCCTTTGTAACTTCCCCTGACAATGACGAAGCAAGGTCATAATTTGCTTTCATAATAGCAATGAATTGTAAGATGCGAAAAGCGTCTCCTTTCAAAGAAGATTTTTAAATATTGAAGTTTTACCGCACTTAATAAGTTTGAATTTTGATGGATAGTGGTTTTAAAAATATTTTGAAATGATAACTAATCATATAAATTGCCACTGGAAATAGGTAAGGATATTTTTGGTAGTTTTACATTTAAAGATTGATCTGAAGTAACAACCAGATTTTTAGAATCAACCATTTTCTTTTTAACTCAGATTTCATATTATCAACTTCTTCATGTTCACCAGCATAGGTATCAATTTCTTTTTCATCACAAACATTATAAATGGTTTCAAAAATAACTTTAAAATCTGATTCTAAGCTTTTAAGCTTTTCTTCAATTGGATCAAAGTCATTAACCTCAGAACAAGTAGGATCTGTTAAATTTTGTTTAAGCTTAGTAAGTTGGGTTTTTAGAACCCCCCTTTTTTTTTTCAGCAAAAGTTCTCTTACACTAATTTTAACTGTATAAAATGAAACACTCACCTGAAGCAATTGTCTTTACGCCAAATCGAAAGTGAAGAACATTCCAGTTCTTTTACTCCAGTCGACGTACCATGGTGTTTATTCTTAAAATAATGATGACCCCTAAGTGAATTCTAACTGTCTTTTATTAATGACACAATATCTCAAACTCGCAATTATAAAATTAATAACTCATGACTTTCAATGAGCCAATTCAAAAACTTTCTTGTATGCCGCCAGCGGCAACCCTCTATCCTAGCAGTTACGTTGCTACACTGCAGAGGCGCAAGCAAAAACAGCTATCATATTTCTTAAACTTTGCTAATTAAATTTACCACTATTTGTCTAGTATTCTATGCAGAACAATTTTTAGTCCAAAGGTGCAATTTGTCATGAAGTACTATTAATTTCGTTTTGGCATTTTGCGTTGAAAACTATAAACAGCGAATCACTTTTCAAATTGTTGCCACCAAATACTATCACCCTGTATTATATTTAAAGAAATAAAGTAGTGAAGAATCTGTATCATTGTATGTATGTTTCTCGCATTGTGATAAAACAACAGTACCTAGAGCCATCAAAATTTGAATGATGTAATCCTACTGCGAATATGGGCATCTGAAAGCCCAAATTTGAAATTTGTTTTATTATCGATTTCATATTTTCCTTTCATAGACACAAGATCACATCTTTGTAAGGAACATGAAATGTGAGCTACGCCTCTGCAAAAATTCAAACCACTGATCTTCCAGTAGCTAGCTGGATACTATCAGTTACCCAATGAGATTATGGCTGGGAAAATGCAGTAATTCTTTATAAACCGTAACGAATTTTTGATTAATAAACTCAACTGTTTCAAAGTGATTAATTGCAACACTGTATAGAAAAAAACATTTTTATCCCCAGCGCACAAGACTGTGTAATCAGAAAATCAAAAAATATAATCATTTAAAAATTGTTTTGCGATATTGCTGTTGAACTGAATTTTATGGTTGTAGTATGCAGAATATGATATTTAATAAATAAAAGTAACACACAAAACATTTAAAAAATGACCTTTTGGATGTAATTTAAAATCTGAAACATTTCAAATTTTTTTTTGGAAAACTAAATTTGTTATAGAGCTTGAGCAAAGTTATCTGTTTCAGACTTATTAATCTATCCAAGGTTCATCATAATGATATATAAAAATTTGACTGAACTAATATATGAGCTATGATATAGTGTGTAGATAGACACAAGATCCCATCCTTGTATGGAACATGAAATGTGAGCTATGCCTCTGCGAAAATTCAAGCCACTGATTTTCCAGTAGCTAGCTGGACGTACTATCAGTTACCCAATGTGAGTATGGCTGGAAAAATGCAGTAATTCTTTATAGTCTTCCTTGCTTAAAGGATGACTGGGGAGAGACAATGGGATTCCCAGGTCATAACTTACTATTATACCATATTTTAGTTTGCGTGTCATTGAAAAGGGATTAAGTTCTCTTTTCCTTGAGAAATATGGTAACTCAGCTATGCACTTGCCAAGATTCAAACCATAGATCTTTTGATAGTCATCACCACATTTTAGTCAATGAAGAGGCATTATTATATTATTATTATTATTTCCCATGAGAAATATAGTAACTCAGCTATGCCTTTGCCAAGATTCAAAGCATATATCTTTTGATTGTTAGCTGGACATGTTACCAAATATATTATAAGAGTGTATATGAAATAATATGATAATTCCTTATGAATATAATGTTTCAGAAAGATAATATTTTGCATTTTTGAAAAATGCTGGATTTGTTGCTACTGAAGGAATTTAAATAGAAAAGTCTGCTGAATTATTAAGTACATTCATTACATTGCATCCCATAATGATCAAGGGTACACTACCAAATAATCTGTTTATTGTTATTGCAAATTTATTTGAAAGAAATTAACATTTTTTAATATTGGCCAGCTAAATCAGAAGCCTCCAAAGTTGCTTGTAAGTCAGTATAGTTTTATCACTAAGATCTAAATAACTACAAAAGAAGTAAAGATAAGTTGGGATAGTACAGTCATAAGTCTTTAATCCGGATTTGTCGGGACTTCGGCGATTCTGGATTATCGGTTTTTCTGAATTATAGATCATCAGTTAGCTGGTAAGACATTACAGAATATAAATAAAAAATATGACCCGTAATTATGAAATAAGAGCATTATGATCTAAAGGGTATCAAATTTAACAAACAAAAAAAAAATTTTTGTTACTTTATTAAACATTTTTTCACGCGTGCATGCGTAAGCATAAATTACGCATAATCGAATAGAAATTGCACCAAAAACTATTGATGTGTATTCGTGTTTTTATGACGAGGATTTGATTAAATCATATCAAAGAGGGGTACCAGATGGACTACTACATTTAGTAAGGAATTATAAGCCGCATAAAATAAAAACATCTGCCCTGAGAGAGGATGTGCTGACAGCTCAACTTCGTTCATTGCGTGCCGAGGCGTACCCCACCTCCTCCCCGGAGCGCATGAAACGAAACAGATTTCGGAATGGTTAGAGAAACAAGGATATACCTTTATCCATTTTTTCAGCAATTCCATTTTGTTTGATGGACAGAAACATGCTTTCGCTTTTAGATCCTTGAGTAGCTCCGAATGGACTTCTTTTTGACATAATCAAAAGTTCAAGCTTACTTTTATAAAATTGCTCTAACAGTCTGCAAAAAAAATAAGCAGAATCCAATTAGAAGATTAAGGAACAAACAATCTGCACATAACTGAATAGATAATTAGATAATTTTCTTAGCTTTACCGTCCGTTATCATTAAAGCGCATGCGTAACATATTTTGTGCGTGCGTAGAGGTATATGCCCATGCGTGCGCATTATGCATTTACGCATGCGCAGACGTTTGTAGCTGAGGTCCGATTAGATCATTCCGGATTATGGACATCCGGTTAAGACTTTTGACTGTATTATTATGCCTTCAAGACTGAGAAAAGATTATAAGGATGTTGAAGATTATAAATAAAGTGTTACTGTTAGAGCTTTTTATGAAAATGGTTCTGTATAAAATTAAAATTAGATAAAAATATGATACAGACGTGTAAGTTATGTATTCATCTTTTTTTTTATATTTATTATATGTGTTTAATAATATTTTTTTATTGCTTGTTTTTTTTTTTTTTTTTAATCTAGGTTTGTTCTCTGCCTGATTATTCACAGCCTGCTGGTGTGAGGAATCACAATGAAGTGTTAAGATGTTTTGCTGTATTAGGTAAATGTCATTACTAGTGTATTAGGTAAATGTCATTACTTACTAGAGGAAGTATAGAATAAGAAATTGTGATTATAGGTCATTTTAACTATGGCATCTATGAGTAGAATGTAAATTTTATACATCTGGCATACTATTTATAGGTATGTTTTATCATTAAAATAGGTAATTTAATTAAAATCACATGTCTGACTATTGATTTAACAAATTGTTTGATTGTATATACACCACTCTTTTGCAAAAAATTGAAGCACCATAAAGGAAGTGCTTGTTTTTTATGAAATTGAATGTATATGTATAGCTCATACACAGATAATAAAATGATTAAAAAATCAAGGTACCTCTTCACGGCTCACAATCACCCATTGAGTGTTCAAAATAATAGTTTTCTGAACCGCCCCTGGTGGCAATGCATGCTTGAATTCGTCGAGGCAAAACATGGTAGAGGTTCCTAAATGTCATCCTGCTACACATTCTGCCAGACTTTCATCAGTTGTCACTCCAGATCTGTGATATATTGTGGTGCCTGAATCTGGTGGCCCACCATGTCCCAGACATGCTTGATTGGTGAAAGGTGTGGTGACCTTGCTGGCCAAGGAAGAGGATCAACTGCACAAAGACAGTCCAGAGATATGCGAGTGGTATGTGCTTGGCATTATCTGTTGGAAAATGGCCAGATGAGGCCATGAAGGGTAATCAACAGCTGAAGAATGGTATCAAATATTGTGGCTGTTTAAAGATTAAGGAGGATGACTAAAGATGACGCTGTCATAAGAAAAGGTGCCACACCATCACACCAGGGGTATGGGTGTTGCTTGTAAACATAGGATTGGGAAAGCTGGCCTTGTCTTCTCCAGACACGACACGGTGGTCATCTGCTTCAAGAGTAAAGCAGATTCATCACTGAACACTATATGATGCCAGTCTGATGGCAGTCATGTTGATCGGCTGCTACATCACTCCAGACAACTCCGCTGATGTTGTGGGGTCACAGGCAAACATCTTAAAGGCCACTGTGAGCATAAACCTGCCTCAGACAAGTGCCATGAGATGGTGGGCAGTACCACGGGAGGTATAGACGTGTCTGTAGTGCTTTGAATAGTTGACAATGATACCATTGGTGCGGTTCAGGCCTAGCAAGCAGTCATCCTATCTTGCCTTGCATTTGTGCTCCTTGGCCGTCCAGAGCCTTCATTTCAGCGGCAATTTCCTTGAAGCAACCATTGCTGCCAACATCTTTGCACAGCAGTGTCTGTACGCTGCAGGTGGTGGTCTATTACTCGGTATGACAACTCAGCTTTATGCAACCCTACAATGCGACCACATTTGAAGTCGTTTAGTTGTCTGTAATGTCTTCAATATCATCGTAATGTCATCCTTAGTTGCTTCTTTACGGAATTACAATGGCAACAACAAAAAAGACAAATTTTCCGCCTCTGTTACTGGTTTTATACTTTGCAAATTGTGCACTAGACATGTGTGCTGTGATCACAATTCCTGTCCCTTTGCATCTTGAATCAAGATGTTTTTGCATACCAAATTTTGTCACAATCGCAAAAGTCCTTGGTGCTTCGATTTTTTTGCAAAAGTGTGTATAAACAATTCTTAAAGTTTAACATGTATAAATTTATTTTATTCTTTATATTATCTTATTTTTTGGTATAAAATCTAAAGCAAAATTTCATTTTTAGTTTAATTGTATTTAAATTTTCCGTTAATCATTACCCGTCCTGTGAACGTTGTCTGTAATCTATATGAAATTTATCTCAATACAGAACAACACAACAAAAAAGCCTGTATTAATATGGGTTACTGATATTAATTATTAAAAATTTTAAAATCGATATATACTCGTATATGTGTGTGTATATATATATACTGATTTTAATCTTTTTATAATATATATTAAAATCCAAGATTTGTTGGAATGTTCTGATGCTATTCTTGTCAGTATTTTGATATTTAATTTTCTCATTTTTAAGTGCATCTAGAGCATTTTGTTTTGTATTTATGTGTGTATATGTAAATATATATATAAGTTTATTATATGTATAAGCTGATGGTGACATATATATATGTGGGGGGGGATGCGTGTGCACTGCCAGCAGCTTCCTTTAGTGCATAAAGCTGGTGCTTTTAAAAAAAGAGGGTAAGTGGGAAAATGATAAAGGCAGTAATGAAAGAATTTATTTAATCTCCTCTGGTAATAATAAAGGGATTTTTGTTGTCCTGACTCAGCCCTTTAAGAAAAAGAAAAAAAGCAAAATAGAATGCTAATATAAATTATGTCTTATTCTAAAGATTCATTTATATCTATGTATGATATTCTTTGCCAAATTTTCATATTGTCTTGTACATTTTGTTAATGTTGTTTTGTTCTATAATTTGCTGTTTTTCTTTTCATGTAAACCTTTATATAATAGAGTCTATCTAACATGCACAAATAGTTTCATTACATTTAGAGGTTCTGTGGTTGGAAACATACTGAACGCTGAAATTTTCCAATATTTGCAGTTTTGAGTTCATACTTGAAAGTAAAACAATTTTTTTAAGAATTTTGATAGTAGCCTGATATTTGAAATTTCCCTGAAAAGCCCCCCCTTAACCCTCTGAACAGCATGGGGTTTTGGTAAGAAAGCTCAAATTTACAAAACAGCCATGAAAGAGAGGTGTTTTCTAAATGTAATGTGAAAATGCTACTGGTACTTTACACCTAGATTTATGTACTTTTAATATAATGGCTTAATTTCCTGGACATATTTTAAGATGTATGTATGTATACTTTCTTAAAGACATCACAAAAAATATCCTTGCTGATCAAAGGATTAATTCCCAACCTTACGGTGTATAAAATCCGTAAGTCTATACAATGCTATTGTTTGTTTTGGTTAGAATAAATTGAGCTTGTTTTAAGTGGAAGTGAGAATAGTCAGACTGATTCTGTGTGACTATTAAAAGTTATGCCTGTAACTATCTGGGAATTGAAGATGGTATGTGTTCTAAAATTACATTGAATTCTTTCTTACGATTGATCTTTTCTGTTAGTACTCTAAAAAATTTGTAGTAAATCCTTTTTATCTCTAAACTGAATCATTGAAGAGCCTGTTATGTCATTTAAAAGCTAAAGTAATATGAAAGGCAACAGTAATAAAAAAAATATTGAAATGTATATAAATATTAATTAAAATACTCTTTTATAAATGATATCCTCAGCTGCTTCAATCCATGGTACAAGACAATGCTATTGTACATCTCATTCATTATGTAAGTGCAAAAAAGCTATAGAATTGGTCCTTTGTGAATTTTTTTGCTGTTAAATAATGTTTCTTGAATATGTAGCAGTTTATATGCTACTATAATATATGTCATAACAGATTCTGTGTCTCATAATGTCTGTTTGTATCTATTTTTATAGCTTCAAAATACTAGATATTCTGTATTACAGTATTTTGCAACAGGATTAGCCTGTGGGCAGCCGAGTTGATAAGACTGCAGATTACTAATAGTTTGACCTGAGATCATGTCAGATTTAATAAGCTGGCTGAATGGGAGTTTTCATGTTTTTTTACCCTTCTAATAACCCTTTCTCTAGTTTTCTTCTTTTTCTTCTAATAATCGTTCTCTCTTTCTGTCCTCCTCTCTTAATAATAAACTTCTAAATCTTCCTCTAAAGAACTACATCAGCTTTATTCTTTTTCTGTCCTTCCCTCCCTGCTGTATTCGGTTAGTGATTGGGAGCTATACTTGTGCAATCTTTAACCCTTTGTTACATACAAGTAATCTAGAGAAGTTAAACGAAAATGTTTGTATTTTTTTCTACTTAAAATAACCTTAGTAATAATAATAAAAAAATAATTTTATTCAAATTTTGTTTTAAATAATTGCTATAGTTTGTTCACTACAGTGGACAGCATGCATATACATGCATGCATACAAATCTCTTCCCAACGATTTACGGTCATTGCATTTGAAATCATTTCCTGCCTTGTTTGCAGTGATCATTACCATCTTCTAAATGGTAAATCTAAACTGACATGTACATACAGATCCCCAAAATACCTTCATTTTTCGATTGTGATTGAATTCATTTGCTACGATTTTGTAACCTGTACCTATTGGATTCAAATTTCAAATGTTCTAGAAATTCCTTGCCAAACATAAACATTTCCAGTGGTGTTTTGGCTTGATAAGCAGTACATTTGGATTTCAATTCACTCTTTTCAGTAGATCTTTATCTACCCACTCCACAACATTCTCAAACTGACATTTAAAATTAAATGTCTAAAATTACTAATTATGAATAAAAAATGGCAGTATAAGAAAATGTAAGCAATATTATACTATAATGTTTACTATGTGAAGTTATACTAACTTGGAAACAGAAGTATCAGCCATTTTCTAAATTGCAATGATTTACTTAGTGATGCTATACAGCCATCTATGATTGACAGTTGAAAGTTCTAATAATATAGAATCAATAAACACAGGAATGGAATCTGTTAAGGCATAAGAATAAACAAATTTAAACTTTTGTCTACTAGAGTGGACATGATGCAACAAAGGGTTAATGAAGTTCTGGTGCTCCCAACACTTTTACCAGTACCTGTTATTTTCATGTGATTTTCTTAGAAAGTGTTCCATGAAGGCACTCTTTTTCTTAGTAAATAACCCTAGTATGCTTCATCATAATGCAGTCTAATTAATAATAATTAGTATTATTGTATTAATATTATTATAAGATTTACTTATAATACTACTAATAATTTTTTATTTCACATTTTTATTATAAAATAATGAACTAACTATGGGAAGAATGTCAGAAACATAAACTAAAATTATTGTTATTTGTGTAGATTAATTGAATCTAATTAATAATTTAGGAATTTTTATTTGGGAATTTTTAAAATATTGAAATATGTTAAAAATGTTGGTATCCATGTAATATGTGATCTACTGCTTTTAGTTTGTTACTTATTTTTTAAAATGCAACCTTAAATTGATTCTTATTTTAATTATTTCTTTTTCCCATCATTTTATTGCACATTCTAGTTTAAAAATAGCATTTTAGTGGTACCATCCAATAAGCAAATAACTGACTTATCCAAAATGTCTATATATTTATGAAATTTGTGAAAATTAACATTTTTTTGGTCAAAAGAATGTTTATTTTTATGTGATTTCTTCTTTATGATTTTTTTAAAACAATTTTTTAAAGAAAAAAAAATTTTTTTTTTTTTTTTTTTTGTTTTGTATTAAATTTTAGCTTCTGTGTATTCAAATCGGCTTGTTTCATTCTTACTTCAACGACTTGAAAGCAGCAGCGAATCGTATCGTATTGGGTCTCTTACTGTGTTAAAACACCTCCTTAATTCCTGTGGTAAGTAGGGAAAAAGTTGTTTCCAAATGAATTCTTTGATAAATTTTAATTTGATTTCTTAATGTTGCATTAAATACTGCATGTATTTTATTAATTTTAATAGATACTCACATTGCTAGCAAAGTGCCCCTTATTATTTCTGGCATAAAACCTGTTCTGGATTCTGGAAATAAGGTATTGATTTGTTAGTGTTTGTTTTTTAATTTTCTTGGGAAGTATATGAATGTATAAATTGGGAGTAGTAAAAATTAGGATGTATGGAAATAATAAAATCTGAATGATGGAATCAAAAAAAAAAAAGGTTCATAAAGTTAAGCATCTGCCATATTTTAATTATTTTTTATATAATTAGTTTCCTGTCATTTCATTAATGTGCAGATCACAAAAATGGTTTTTTTGTTTATTAAGAAGTGTTCTTTGAAGGATTAAAATTATGAATTCAAAGTGAATTAAGCTTGATGTAACAAAGTAAATACTCACAGGATTGAATAATGTCTGTAATCTTAAAGGGAAAAAAAAAAAGAAATCCTTTGATTTCATACTGTTGTGGAAGTATATTAAATAAGTTGAAAAAAAAAAGCTGTTCAGAAAAGCTTGATGACCCTTTGCTTGTTAAGTTTTATGAAGTTTTTTGTGCTATTTAATATTTTGCATGTATTGCCTTTTGTTTGATTTATAGTTGCTGAATGCCGGTGAATGTTCTAATATTTTTTTCTAGAAGATTCAACAATCCTTTTATTATGTGCTTTGATTGCTTTCTAAAATGTAAATAAAGCCTATTTTTGTTGTGACAATATTGTTTTTATGTACTTTTAATTGTTAAAAATACTACATATTATTCTTTAAAAATTTTCAAAATCTTATCAGAATTTTGATTTTTTCCTCCATTAATAATATCTTCTTTTCGCATGCCATGAAATTTTAACTAGAGCAAGCCATGAATTTTCTTTTTATAATGTTTATTTTTAACTACAGTCAAAAGTCATTAATCCGGACTCGTCGGGACTTCGGTGATTCCAGATTATCCATTTTTCCGGATTATAGATCATCAGTTTAAATCTGGTAAGATGACATGCAGAAATTACAAAATTAAAAATATGAAACCGGAATTTATGAAATAAAGAACAATTATAATCTAAAGGCTTTCAAAATTTACAAAAAGAAAAAGCTTAATATTTATTTGTTTACTTTAGTAAACATTTCTTTCAGTGTAAGTTGTTTCGTTTTATGTGATAATACTTTCTCCTTAATTCTATAAAACAAACATAATTTCTTGTTTAGTTACAAAGTTCCGTTGTTCAAGTCGTATAATTGCTGTGTCGAGAATACCGACTAATTTGTCGATCGAAATTTTTCCGTTTTCAATAACCTTTGTCACTTTCTTCACTATCGGAAGCGAATTATAATAACGAGGAACCTGTTTTAAATCATATTAAAGACGGAGTACATCGAGATGAAATACTACATTTAGTAAGGAATTATTAGCCAAATAAAATAAAAACATCTGACCTGAAGATAAGGATAGTGCTGACAGATCAACTTCCAATGCATTGCGCGCCACAGCATTCCCCCCGCCGAGCAGCGTGAAATTGAGAAACAGATTTCGGATTTCGAAACATACTTTCGCTTTAGATCCTTTACATATTAGCAAATATATATCGGAAATTCTATTTGATATAATCGAAAGTTCGAGCTTACTTTTATAAAATTGCTCTAACAGTCTGCAAAAAACAATAAGCCGGATCCAGTTCAAAGAAAGGAACAACGCAATCTGCAACATTAACTGAATTAGATAATTTTAGCTTAGCTGATACCGTCTGTTATACATTAAACGCGCATGCGTAAACGTTTTATGCGCATGTGCACACGCATATTCGCAGCCGTAAAGACGCATGCGCAGAAAGTTTGTAGCTTTGAGGTCCGGATTATAGATCATTCCGAATTATGGGTGTCCGAATTAACGACTTTTGACTGTACTAAAAATCTGAGTTTTTAAAATTAAAACTAAACTGTTAAAAATACTGCACTCTTTTTATTAATTATTGATTTAAACATATTAACATCCTAATTTTCTTTTCTTCCATTAATATTATTTTATTTAATTTGCCATAAAATTTTGAAAAGTTTAATAAAATTAATGAGTATGATCTAATGTATCTTAATGTTATATCAGTTTTAAAAGGGAATGTTTTCAGTAATTCAATGACTAGACACTTTTAGTTTATTTTGTGCAATTATGTGAACATTTTCTAAGGGAAGTTTTAAATGAGAATATAAGTAGATTTTTATATTATGATGAATTTTATTCAAATTAAAGTTTGCTATTGGTTTTGTAATATTTTTTATATCAAAAGTATAGATTTCATTTTTGCATTCATTGTAAATGAAAATGTAGGATTGCCATTTCTGTTTGTAGTCTTTTAGTGATTAAATTATATAAATACTAAGATGATTGCAACTGGTAAATGTTTAGTAATAAACACACCTTATCCAAGCAATGATTATTAAATTATGGTAATATTATCTACTTCACTGTAGTTTGGAAGTGCAGAAAAAAATAGAGTGTGAAGGTCTAAAAATTTAGTAGTTTCTACAATGATGCAAGTTACTATCAGAACGACATGCCATAGAGTCACTTTTATAATCTTTAAGTACAGTCTCCAACATAGCTGATAATTTGTTACCCTTGGTAAAAATAATTTTAGCATTGGTGTAATGACTTCATAATAGTACAAAGTCCAAAATCCATACGTCCATTATCCAGAATGATCTAAAATCCAGATCTCAAAACCGCCAACAATGTTTTCTGGTAGGCTTTATGCATGCACATTTTATGTCCCCCTCCACGCATAATAAAACATCTGGAGTCCTGATTCTTAATTTCACTTCAACACTAATAAAATAGTACCTTGTTATTGAAGAAACACTCATTTCAGCATAAATTTGTACGATCAGTAATTTGGCTCCGTTGCTGCATATCTGCTTGGCATGCATCTCAAACCAAAACATTCCACACAGATACATCATTGATCTGATGCCAACCTCTCGAATTTATTATACTTTCCTTTCATCATTGCATGTTTATCAAAACATGACAAACTGAGTAATGACTCATGTAGCGATGCCTAAACAATTTTTTATGTTAGTAATATAATAAAGGAGTTCGGTAACCTTTTATGTTGACATTATGCTTGGCGATGATTACAGATTTAAGTTAAATGTGCTAAAATATGTTGACGGGAAAAATTTACCAAATATTTCTTTCCATATGCTAAAAATAGATTTTATTGATGATACTCATAGACCCAAAGATTACATTTAGGACTATTTGAATTATGAATAACTGATTTGTGTTGTAAAACATTTTTATAGCCTCAAAATTTCACAACAAATTAATAAAAGTAGAGAGTAAAAAGATTTCTCTTACCTTATATCCAGCGTACTTTCAAGCGAGATCATGCCTTATTAACTTGTAATCCAAAAAAGATCGTAGACGGTAATTATAAGTAAAACACATTCTTTATTAATACATGAAAATAGATTAAAATTCATTAGTATCACAAATATATATCAAAAAGGAAGTTATACTAGAGAGTGTCATATCATTGTCCTTTCTTGAATGTGTGAGAAAAGTAAGTGTAAAGAACGAGTTACTCAATTAACTTCTTTGCAGGGTTTTCAGTTCATAATGTTTATTGCGCTATTGGCGACAGTCCATTACTATTTGCATACCAACACCCCTACTTGATGGGCAGGATCACCATTTGCAGCGATCCTTGATTCTCGAACACAGGCTTGCCTAGTGGTTTGGTGAGTAGATACGCAATCATGTCGGAACTTCTGCAGTAGTCTAAGCTCAGGATCATGTTTTTTGAAGTTCATACAAGTAGTGGTATTCGATGTCTATATGATTTGTTCTGGAGGTATTTTTCTCCGTTTGTGATAGTTTGATGCACGAATTTTTATCTTCATAGAGAATAATCGGTAGATTTTGTTTTAGTCCTAGATCTTTAAGCAAATTTAACAGCCATTGTGCTTCTTGTGTTGTGTTAATTGCTGCTTCAGTTGAAGACAGTGCAATGCAGTTTTGCCTTTTGCTGCTGCATGAAATTGAGTTATTTTCTAATTTGAATTTGTATCCGCTGACAGATTTTCTTGTTGTTCTGTCATTTGCCCAATCTGCATCTGAATATATGCAGTTAGTATAGGTTCTTGAATTTTGTTAAAGACCAACTTAAAGTCTTTAGTTGTATGAAAGTATTGAATGGCTTTCTTGACAGCATTCCAATCTATGTTTCGGGGTTTTTGTTTCTTCTACTCAGTAGACTGACAGCACATGCTGTATCTGGTCTGCTGCATATAATAAGCCCCTACTTCTTGTCTATATTCTGTATTATCTTCTAGAAGATCATCTTCAGCTTCTAGTTTGCAGTAATTTGTTTCCATTGTTGTGTATGTTGGTTTTTTGTTTTGAAGTCTAAATTTTTGAATTATTTCTTCAATTTTATTTGTTTGGTTCATGGCAAAGGTTCCATCTTTAAATCTTTCGATGTTTATGCCGAGGTAGTAGGTGACTTTTCCTAGGTTTTTTATTTCCAATTTAGCATTCAGTTATTGGACTGTTTTCATTACATCTTTTTTCCTTTCACTTCCTATAAGCATATCATCTACATGTAATATTATATATGTGAATTTTCCATTGGTGTTTTTGAAAAACAAGTGTGGGTCAGCTTTACTTTGTTTAAATTACATGTTTAGAAGTATTTTTCCTATTTTCAGATTCCAAGCTCTGGCTTGTTTTAAATTATATATATAGATTTCTTATTTTCATGTCCTGCTTTTGAGTATCTTTCAGGTTGAGTCATGTAAATTTCTTCTTCTAGTTCTCCGTGAAGGAAAGCTGTTTTGACATCGATATGTCTGACAGACATGTTTTTATACGAAGCTGCACATAGGAAAGCTCATAGAGTTGTGTATTTACAGGAGCAAAGGTTTCATCATAGTCAGATCCAAACTTCTGGCTAAATCCTTTTGCGACTAATCTGGCTTTGTATCTTTCAATTTTTCTTTTTGCACTGAGCTTTGTCTTGAAAGACCATTTGCATCCTATTGCTTTTCTTCCTTTTGGTAAATCAACTAATTCTCAAGTGTTGTTTTCTTCTAGTGAATTAATT